TTCTGATTACCATGGGAACCAAACAGAAGTCTGCTTTGTAGAAAACAGATCCGTGGTGACTCACTGACTGCTTGGGAAGCATGATAACCGAGATGCACCACGCTGGCGTGGGTGACACAGAACAATACTCTGGTGAGTTGCTAAAAAAGCTGATACCATTTCAGCCACAGTCTGGCACAGTAGAGACTCCTTCACTACAGATGCAGGATGAAATCAAGTAAATCAGTATTTTGTCATAGCGTACATTAGACATGAAGTTCATCTTTTTTCCACCTCATTTTTCTGTAGCTTCAGCCTTGTGTATACTCTGCTGCAAGATGGATTTCATTCGTAGTAAATGAAGTCCTAACTGATCTTGTCCTAATCCTCACTACATGAGATTTTATACTGGGCTTTATCAAGACACGTATCAAGACACAGGTCTTCTGTGACCCTCTTAAGGATGGATACAACCCTTGAGTGGGGAACCACAGCCCCACATCCTTTCATCTACACTGTGACTTGAAAATCACACAGGACATGGGCAGTGTCCTACCCGGGCTATCCAGATACTGAGCACTTGGATCATTACAGCTAAGCTCTGGGTTCTGGATTAAGAGGAAAGCAAAGTAAGAGCTCTGTCTCATTGATGTGATTCAAAGGAGCAACTATCCCGGAGGGGAAATGGTTTGTGCAAAGGGACCATAATGTGCAATCCAACAAACAAGTTGGATTGTTTCTCCATCTAATCTCAAACTGTAGTTTCATTTTAATGCTTCAGTACACTAGGATTTTTTAAGTTCAGTTATCTGAACTGAGACATAGAAGTTCAAGAACAATGTTTTTGGGCTGTCAGAAAATCCCTGATCTGTGATCTTCAGCTTTTAAAGCCTGAACCCCTTGTGTGTTTGTTAACCTGCTTTCAGAATAAAAAGATACCCCCTCTGCTCTGTCTGGAGAAAGCATGACAACTGCAAAGGATATGGCATCACACCACCAACATTTACATTTTGTATTTTTAATAAACAGCAATTCAAGAGGCTTTGACGAACCCAAAGTATATTCCTTAATAACAACTCTCTCATTCAGTGATTCCTCAAGTGGATTCATAAACATCTTCCAAAAATACCATCAATACACAGCTTCGAGCTGTGTATGGGGTTTCTTTTATGTTCCTCCTATTCACAGAAATGCCCATAGACTAGAGGTTTTAAAAGAGTAGATATACGAATTTCTCTGTGTGCTCTCATTAACAAAAGCTAGGAAATGGAATGAAGAAGCTGAAGAATGGAAGTTGAAAAGGAATTTGGAGGAGCAGAAACATTGTTCCTTATGTCAAATTTGGTCAAGACAGAACATGGCGTCCTGCCATACTGTTTGTAGATATCTAGGTCTTTGGAAAAACAAAAGACAAGAACCCATAAAACTATGAAAAGGATATGGCCCTAGATCTTCAGCTTGGTGTACAGCCATGCATATCATAAGGGAATGCAAAGCTAGTGCAGAGGCTCTGGATCATGATTAAGAGGGCAACTCTAATAATAAACCATTAAGAGGGCAACACTAATGTGCTCCATATTTCTCTGCAGTTTTGGATAACGAAATGATGAGATGAAACAGGAAAACAAAATGTGCTCTTTGCAATAGTCCCACCAGAACTGGGTGGGATTAAAAATCCCACCTCTTTCTTTCCGGGGTCTTCCTGGAGGGTTCAGATGTCAGTAGCAGATCAAGTGCTCATTGAGCTTAGTTCTGTGCACCCTTTTGATGATACTTTCCAGGACATGGAGAACAGAAATGTGCAAATAATTAGGCATCTTGCTGGCTTTCTGAGCATTAGCTTAATGATAGTATATTCCAGGATGACTAGGGTTTTGGTTGGTTTGTTTTCTTTGGCAAAGGCAATTGTTATCAGCTCAAACATGGTCTAATTGCTCTGCTCTAAATAAAATTGTGCTTTGCACATTGTTCAGACAGTAGTAACTTGGTATAGCATGTGAGGTGGAACCTATGCTTTCATGACACATTAAGCAAGCACTGAACAGGCCTGCAATGCTTATTATCCAGTGCTATTACCGGTTCTCTTCAGATTTGCTTCTATGAACAAGACTTTGCAGGTTGGGTTTCACTCATATATATATATACACATATATATATATATATACACACATACACACACACACAAATATATATATATACACACATATATGATATTTTAACACTATCTCTTAGCCTTCAAAAAGGCAAAGTGTTTGTAATCTTTGCTGTAGGCTGAAAGGGTTGAGAATGAGCTGCATATTTGTCTCTGGGACCTAAAAGCAGGAAAACATCGATAAAACAGGCAGCAGTTTCAGAGAATATCAGTAATTAGCATTACAAGCTATAGTATAAAGCTATAGTAAAGAGGACAAGCATGGAATATTTTAGAAATAGTATTTTCTATCAGCCCCGTACAAAGCAAAACAGAGTTTGTTTTAAAGCCAAAGCTGCAAGTTACTAGAAATAATGGTCAGTGTTGTTCATAAGCCTTGACAGATACTGGTGACACTCTCAGGAATTTCATGGTTCTCAATATTTCACTTCATGTCCAAATGTTTCTTTTTTTTTTTTTTTTTAAATCAGTCATTAATCTACTGAAATTATATTTTAAAAAAGAGTTTGAGTAAAGAATTATGCAAAATGCTTTAATAATTTAAATACACGTTCAGCCATATGGAAATGTACAATTAGTTTTATGTTGCTATGGGAAACTTACAGTCGTTATGAACTTAATGATTTTTAAAACCACTCATCCATCATTTAATACAACAAATTGCTGAAGTAAGAAGAAAACACATTCTGTTATGATTTGTCAAACTTGAAATGCTTAGAGAAGAACTGGGTACACGAAACTTAAATACTGATCAGGACTCCTCTATAATTCATGAGCTCTGACAATACCATCATTTCTTTGTTACACAAGGAAATGTCATTATAACATTATGGAGAGTGGAAGACATAACATAGTTTGGTTCATCGGTATTTTTCCATGTAAAGCTTTACAAAAGGGATAAAGCTGAATAAAATAGAAACAGACATGGAAATATTACAGTGAAATATGCTGTTCTTATTTAAATAAATTTCCTTGAGCAATAATATCTTTTTAGAAGGTGAAAATTAAACACCAAGATTTGTTTCACTGTATAAAAGTGACAGTAGTAATTATAAAGAACCCGATGGCCTCATGTCTATATCTTCCTACTCTTAATTTTCAAAGCAAAAATATTAAAATTTGCAATATTACCAAAAAGATGCAAACCTGTCAAATATATTACTCTGAAGTAAATTAACAATTAATTTATAGGAACCTACCATTGGAATTAAGTGGATAGTAGTACTGATTTTCTATATAAAATCTATCAAAAATTGTTGGAGAAAATATACAAAGCATTGCTGATAACTGATGAGATCTGCAGTATGGCCAAAGGGAAACAAGTTGCAGATCATCAAAGTTAGCTCTTGTCCAGAAATCTCCACGAGTTCATCAATTTTGTTTTACACTGGATAACAGCTGGAAATTTCCATGACGCACCCATCACAGCAAACGTCATTCAAGGCTGTACTTTAAGTTTTACCTGCAGTTGTAACTTGCAACAGTTTCATTTTTCTTCTGGTGCTCTGAACTGTCTTGCTGTCTGGAAGGCTACATAAATATAAAAATCTCCAGCAGAAAGACAATTTTCTCTAAAGATCTTAGCAGAGGACTGTTGGGAAAGGGGAAAAAAAAAGTTTAGCTGGACTAGCTGGTAAAATACTTCTGCAGGACAATAAAACTCTATACATAAACCATCTAACTGGTCGGTTAGAGGCTGAGAATCACGGGTGTATGGCCTCCAGATGCACATGCCCATAGACAGACTTGTGGAGCTCACAGGACCATCTATTAGGTTTGAAGCTGCTCATAGGTGTAAGTGTTTGCTGGGCCAGGCCCTGAACCAGCAGCCAAACCCTGACCTTGTATCAGTGGAGTCCACTTCAACTGTCTTGAATAGCAAAAGGCAAGGGACAGACCCTTTCCCAACCTCAGGCTTTTATTAAGCCAGAAGCAAATTAATGCAGACTTCATTCAGCAGCCATGGGAGGAAAAATGCACCTTTTAATTTAGGCCTATGCCACTGAAAGGTGGGCTGTTGGTTTTGCCCTTAGAAGAATTACATGGCAAATGTAATAGTAACTGGATAATTCCCCACCTGCCTAATAGTAGCACAAGGAATATTGCTGCTTTTCCTATTTTTGCAATTAGTACAGTCAAACACATAACATTAATTAAATCATACTATACCTCTGCCTCCAGTTGTTTGTGTCTCGATGTGTTTATTTCCTTCTAATCTTAATTAGAAAACATAAGGTAAAAAGGGTTAAAACATTCTAACATGCTGAATTTCACTAATTTAAAGTACCATTCACTCAGTTACCACTGTTCCAAATAAACATACTATTATTATGGTTGATAGGGGTGTTATTCTTCACTTTTTTTTTTCTCTGAAACAAACTCTGGAAGCTCCAGTCAGTGACTCAGCTCTGTTGTGTATATATAGGTGACAGCAGTATTTGGTGTGTTAAATCTAAAAATATATTGCATGATTTCATAAATACATGTTTATGTCTTGTCTGTTAAGTATCTACAAACCTAATGCTCATTCCCACTGTTCAAAAATACAAAATGGGAAAAAGAAAACAATTTCCACTGGGTTTCATACAAGAACAGAAACACATCTGAAATCAAGCACTTACTGACTCTGCTTGCTGGAATTTGCCACAATGCAAGCAAACACCTTCTAAGCTATAAATAGTGCTAGGGCTCTGCAAGTGCATATATCATAGCCTCTAAATGGTAACGGGCTTTTGTTTTCTTTGAATTCCCACAGCACTCAGAGCACAGAGAAGCTCTTCAGAAGACAATGTATGATATTGTGAGTGTCTGATCTGTGATCTTTCTGCAGAAGTAGGATGGTTAAAAAATTTCACTAAATGGAAACAATCACTTTAATGATTATAAATAGCCCCACTGCCTTAAGGGGTTCCAAGGCTGTTCAGTCTGTCTAAAATAATCATTGATTTTTAAAGGATAAATACATCTTAATAGCTCAAATTAGACTAAGAACGTAGGAGTAATGCAACAAGTGACCTTCAAATACCTTTAGGTGCAGCTTTTGTCTGACTGGAAACCATGGCAGTTGCATCCGATGGCAGGCCAACATAAACACCACCATAGTTCCTGATTTAAAGAAAAAAATAAAGCAGCTTAATTTAAATACTTTTCCCTGTCATGCCAACAGCACACAGTAGCACCACAAGAACCGAGGACACTCAGATAGGAGGCACCTCCACAGGCCTGTCAGAGGAGGCCTCCTTTCCTATGGCTACTGCGAAGGTGCCTTTTCAGTGCGGCGCCCTTTGCTAAGGTGGAGCCTCTGCCAGTCAAAGGAAAAGCTGTGAAATGAACTAATCTTTTCCGACTCACACTCCTAGTATTTTTCATTAAATCCCAACTTTCTTCTCACAGTAAACCCCACCTGCACAGCTTCCTCTGCACACCCAATATCCATTTGATGGCAAAACCAATCTGGTAGTCATGTACAACACTGAGGCTGTTTCAGCGCTTCAGAAAAAGCACCAGTTAGAAAGCATTTTGACCCCTCTTATTTAACAGAGACTTGCATCTCCCTTCCTAGGGTCACACTTAGAGAAAACTGTTAGGAGGGAGCATGAGAGCATGAGGTACTTGCATAGCACAGCCATTGTCTTACAGAGCCTGTAGAGAAAACTGTTAGGAGGGAGCATGAAGCGTCAGGTACTTTTATAGCCCAGCCACCATCTTACAGAGTGTATCTTCTGCCTCCAAAATCTCTGTGGAAGTTTTGGAGCATCCTCTGTGGAAGGACTGATGCACCGAAGTGGAAAACTGTGTCCTTGCCTGGAGCTCCTTGCAGAGCCTCCCTTCGTGCTGCTCGGATGCACCAGACGCTACACGATTCACGCCTCCCCCAGGCCTCGGGGCTGCTGGCGATGTGGGAGGCGCTTGCTGACAGAAGCAGAGCTCCTGGCGACCTCCAGCCTGGCACAGATTTCCCGTGTGTGGTAGCACAAACCCACAGAGCTGGCAGGAAGGCAGAGGCTACAGGCACTGCAGCCCTTCTCTAGCCGATCACCTGCAGCTGCAAGATAGTGCGCTCTTCTCTCAGTGAAAATCCTTTCCCCAGCTCAATTCCAGGGCAGGGGTGGATCTAGACTGGGCTCTGCGTGAGATTTCCTACTCTTTTTTAGTTTCTCAATTTGAGCAGAAGGGATTAAGAGGCGGAGAGGAAGGATGCACATCTGGTGGCAGAACCCAGGGCAAGGTACTCCAAATAAAGGCAGTCCTGCCGAGGACTTACCTCCTTTTGTCATCATCTGATACAGATTCTTCTGCTCTGTAACACGAAAAAATATAAATCACATTAGCAAACAGCTTCTTTCAGATATTCCACTGCTATCTGGATAGATTCAGGGGCAGGGAAATAAGGGGAATATAAGGATCCCAGATTAATTCAGGTCATCCACAATTCATTAAAAATGCTTACATGGACACAAAAAGACAGAAGGACAATTTCCCAGTCTAAGCTAAAGAAATAACTGACTGCACCACTGCAATGACTAGGGGTACACAGGTCTTTTTAATGCAAGAGGCGTGGGGTAGAACTATGTATACTGCAATTTTTGCTAAATGCTATTCATGCAGTGCACACCAGTGCCAGGGGTGAACTAGATAATCTACTGTCTTCCTAGGTCTCACCATGCAAAGACAGGATAAACTCCTTCCTCTCTGGTCCACCTGCTCTTCCTCTAGAGGAGCTAGCCCCCTTTCCTCTGACTCCACACGGTTGCAGTCCTCATGCATGCATCCATAAAAATTCATAGACTCCTTTCCTTGAGAACTATTAAACAGCTCTGTCCCAGGGCAGCCCAACCCCATCCAAAGAAAGTGAAAAGCTGGTTTATATCAGTGGGTAGACCTGAGCCATGGATTTTTAGGAAAAAAATGACAACAGTAATAAAGGGACTTTGGGTTCCAAAAGATCAGAAACAATCATTGCTCTTGAATCAACAGGGTGTGTCACATGATTGATTTTCTCATATAACTAGAAACATTTTCTATAATCCAAATCACCCATTATCCACAGGAAAGTCTCCTTTAGAAGGGATGGTGATTTCATCTGTAGATCAAAGCCTCTAAAATCATTGTTATAAGAATAATAATTGATAATATCCAAACAAAAGTTAAGTCAGTACTTAGAAAAAAAGCTTCCACTAGGCAACAGGGCTATTTTCTTCTGTGCCAGAAATGTTTTATATTGGAGCATTACTGGGCCATTACTGTTATTCTCTCACCAACACAAATCATACAGGCCTATGATTAGGCAGACTATTTTTTTAAACATTTTGATTTCCTCTTTTCTTTTAATAACTACTAATCGAAGTCTAGTTTTGTAAACCTATTCCCTTAAAAGCACAACAGCAACTATAGTTTGGGGGACTGCATGGACCACAGCTATCAGCGTGAATGATGACTGCATGCAGTCTGACTGTTATAGTCCTATTGGGAGGAGAAGGATGAATGGAAAGAGGAAAAACATGGAAATGCGAAAGGGAAAGAAAGAATAATTCTGGTGATGAAAATTTAGGGAGAAGCTGTTTTCCACTGTGTTCCAGAGAGTCGGCCATGTGGGAGAGAGTACTTCCCCCAATTATGCATATTTATACATGTCTTGCCCTCATACACTGTAGCTTAAGGTACCATTTTGAAAGGTGCCTGCTAATCTCCTGTCTTCAAATTTCCAGGTGTCAGCTAAGGCACAGGGCCATGCTCTCACCTTGGGCTCCAGCTGCAGGAGCAGAGTGGCAAAATGAACAGGCAGCAAAATGAACTCACCAGGCCAGACAAAACAGCCCAGCATATTTTGTAGTCTCCTGCCACCGGATCACTGCACACAGTCACTGTGGAAGAGGAGTGGGCCTCTTCCTTTGCTGAAGCCTGCACTAGTAACTAGTGGTTTTCTAAATTAACCTGGTATTTTAACAAAACATCATTTTATAAAATTCTAGGAATTCTTTAGTGGACAGCATTGTAAAAATTCATATGTACTCTTCTGTAGATTTTAGAGTAATGAACAGTGACTAACCAATAATAATAAAAATTAAAGTAACATTCAGTCTAGTAAGTTTCTGAAGCATGGAAGACAATCTATCACTAATAATGAGATTTTCTCATTTTAAGCCTTGGTGATACCAATGTTTAAACACATATAAATGAAATCCTATACATACACATACCTTTAGGTAAGAATTCATACTGTAATAGTATTTGCGATCTTGAAGTTTAAAACTACCAAAGAGCAAAGAGAGAGGTGCACTTCTGAGTTAAAATACAGTCATTTAAACTGTATAAAATGCCTGAATAATGTAAAAAGACATTAACAGAAATTGAAAACGCTATTTTCCGGTATATGAGACTGTTGAGAACATGAATGCTGCAGCTTATATTGAGAAGAGGTTCCTCAAACTTGCCCTCCATAATTTAGCTACTTTCAAATCTTTGACATTGAAGATCCAGAAAGCAGATTACACAGAAAACATAGATCTCAGGAGTATCTGGGACAAAAGCATTCATCTGCCAAAGTGAGACTTGTTTGCAGATCTTAGACATACTTTAAAATGGCAAGGACAAACCTGTTAAGCTCTTCTCTCCATTTGTTTATGTGATTTGACAGCCAAGCTTCTATACCAGGCTTCTTCTGTCTAATTAGAATAGTTAGTTACACAAAATGAAGTAAAT